TTTTAAAATCTTGTTTTCTTCTTTCTGTTTGATAAATTCTGTTATTTCAAGGAAAGATTTGCATTTCTGTTAATTTTGGTTTAGTTTCTAGACCCATGCAACGGGCTTCAGCATGTTCTAAGCAGCAGGTTACCTGCTTAGGAAAAATGCATCTGTGAACTATGGATGTGGCACAAGCTAAGAGAATTTGCAGTGCATCACGTGCAGTGAAGCAGATGGACTCTATGGATGAGTTAACAGTGACTCGTAAGATTGTCTTAAATAATGGATTTTTTTTTCCTAAATGGCTTAAAAACCCATATGCTTTGGGCAGGAGAGCTCCAATAGCTACCCTTGCAGAGCATGGGGTATTCAGTAAGGTCTACAGAGCAGCAGCTATAGCCTTGCAGAGGGATAAGCATCCCTCTTGCATGTTTAACTCATGCTGCATTTTATTACAAAGATGAACAAGAAAACAGACCCCCCCACACTGTACTGTGAGAAGGGTCACAGCCCACCCTGTACTTTCTATCTCTGTTTTGGGCTCTTATTGCTTGCAAAACTTGAGCGGCTTCCAGTTTAGTCATTTCCCCTTATCAGGGAATTCAGATGAAATTACATTCCTACCGGAGGCTTTTAGAGGTATATAGGAGTCCTGTTTGACTTTACACGAGATGTATTTTTCTGGCATCTTTTCTTTTTTTTCCAGCCAAGTGGTGGTCATCTGCTCACTTCCAGTGTCCACAACCCCTTCTGATTTTCGCTGCAGACATGTCTCTGAAAATGAGCATTTTGTCGTCTCATTCCCCAGTACTCAACCTTTTCTCAGGAGAGTAAAGACCAGGGGGGAGAAAAGCGGGGTGAGCCCCCTCTCCGCAAAGTTTATTGAGTAAGTACTTAACCAGCTTCCCATTATCAGGAAGGGGATCCATCTGAGACCAAATCTTTGCTAAATTGGGCAGCAAGAACTGTACCTAAAGCTAATTTTCTAAACAAAGTGGCAGCTGCCTGCTTTTAACTATCCCCCAGAAGAGTTGTCTGGATAAGGATCAATACTCATGAGATGAGCAAGCTACTGCTCTTTATTACCTGTGCCTAGAGCCTCCAACAGCTACCAGCGCCTGGCTGTGTTTGCTGATGATCTCTGTACCAAAACACTCGCTAAAGAGAGAAAACAAACAGCAAAACAAAGGGGGTCAGCTGGACCCCGGAGCAAGGGTGCAGAGGATGAAATGGAGCCCTCGTCCCGCCTGGCTGCCGTGGGGGAAAGGGGAGAGGGATGGAGGCATCACACCTGGGCAGGCTGTGGAGCAGGCACAGAGCTCTCCTGGGGGACCTGGCACACATCCCCCTTTGCATGGGGTATCCTCTGCCCCGATGTCTGAGCCTCAGCTGTTGCAGCCCACTCGTCTCCCCCACTCCCCCCTATTTCTTCCATATGTCCCCAGATTCATCCCGCTGCTCGGCAAGCCGTCGTCCTCTCCCAGGGCATGCCGAGGCCCTGTTAGCAGGGTGGTCTCCCTTGGGGCCCTCCTGGCAGCCTTTGCTACCTGCAGACGAAGGTGCTGGTGAGGTGAGAAGGTGACACAACTCCCCTTTTATAAGGTTTGTGGAATTATTTTGGCATTAAAGCAGTGCTGGTGGAGCACACCCCCATTGGTGCCCTTTTAGGATCATAAACAGCTCTGGTCAGGTCAGAGCTGCCAGGTTACATTCATGAGAAAATAATAATAATAAAAAAAAATGATACGAGGATTTCCACCATTTTACTTGACTCATAAGGATCACAATCACCAAACCCGTGCTTGTCTGGGTGCCTAGCAGCCTTGGTGCAGAGCTGCTGAAGCAGAAACAGCTGCCCGACCGCCTCCAAATCCAGCCTCAGAGCAACCTCCAGCGGCAGCGAGCTGTTCCTGCAGACACGGCACCGGTGCTCGCCTCTGGGAACCCCAGCCTACCTCTTCCACCACGGAGCAACGCTGGCCCTCTGACCAGAGGCGTACATGCAGAAATAAAGACCACTACCATTTCCATTAAGGCACCGGGATAAAAATCTGCTTTCAAAAAATTAAATTGTCAGTACTTCCCCATGACTCATCGAACAGCCAAGATGCGCTTCTGGCACAAAACCAAACCCGTCATCCACTGAAGACCCAATTACAAAGAAAAAAAAGGGGCAGTTATTAGTTTAAAATTTTGTGTGAACTTTTGCTGGTTACTGGTGAAGCCACATACTTGTCGAGATTCAAGAATCAGGGATGCTGCAGCACACGCATAACTAAGCACGAACTCAAGGATCTTTGCTATGGAATTCACCAAGCACATATTGAGCTTAACAGTACATAAAGTGCTTTATTGAGTCAAAGTCTGAACCACAGCCCACCGACATCAATGAAAGATCTTCTGAGGACTTTGGGTTCAACTCACAGAAAGCCATCTCTGCTTGTCTTTTACGACGACAGCCACACGTGCTCTCAGAAATACAGCTTACAGCAGCAATCCACAGGGTATCGTCCCATCTCAAGTACGTCTTTTTTATTGTCTCATTTCATATACCAAGTGGAATGTAGCTTGCTTCAGCCTAACCCAATCAAGCAGCTTTTACCAGCGGGATGTACGCACTCTGCAATCCAGTTTCACAGACACATCGCATGCAATAGGAGAAATTAGTTATAATAAGCAAAATCAACACCACCAAAGGTAATCAACATTTTATTTATAAACAGACATTTACTATAAAAGCTGTTGCATTTTAGACAAGTTTTCCTAATTTCCAGAGGCATTTTAGAATAAATAAAATAAAGGAAAGATTAGCATAATTGGTATTCAACATTAGCCCCAGCTAGGACAGCAATCCTTGTCCTTGAATGGACATGCAGATAAGGATGGTCCCCTTCTGGTTCACCAACCTTTAGGACATTCACTGAGGACTACAGATATACTGCATCAATAACACTATATAGCAAGAGTAAGGAAAAAATACACCATGGAAAATGGGGTTGTGAAATACAGATGGGTTATGACACCTCTTCAGGTTCTCTGAAGTAGTAAGAGGCTAAATAAATTCTGAAACATCTAAAACCCATTACATACATTGTACTTGCTTAGCAATAATACATCATTTTTTGCAACAAATACATTTACATTGTAGTTCAATTGTAGTAAAGCATTATTTTTTTCTGTGCTCAAAGTTCCTGATAAGAAATGTATATTTATGTGCTTAAACTGGGGGAAAAAAAAAAAAGGAAAAAAAAAAAGGATCTTAGCCTGAATGAATTTGCCATGTAAGACTCCAAAGGAAATACAAAATCAAACACAAGCAATTGGCAAGTACACTTTAGAAAACTGTTGAAAATTATTTTGTGCTGGTGAATAGATGTTCATGAGGGGGAAGAAATCGTCGTCTGAGAAAGCCGCTTCATTTTGCTGTACATACAATCAAACTTGACCAAAACATGCAATATATGAAACTAATTGATAGACACTGGGATCCATTTCTAAGCAGCTTCAGAGATCCACTGGTGTGTCTGCAGTGCGATGCATACCCCCACCCCACCCCTCGCCCATGCATTTTAGTCCCAACCATTACCCCTACGCGCGTGAGCAGCAGATCTAACCTCTGTGACAACCAACCCTTTTATACACTTGGAGTCGGATTTGCACATCTAAACTCTATCACATGGGTGAAGCGGTGTTAGTGACTCATACCAAACAGATGCACAAGCATGCACGGTCTCGTTTAAAAATCAGGCCCAGACATCATATATTCACATATCCTCAATGCAGTGGATGGAATTATACAGATGTACGAAGTCAGTTATAAAATCTGCTTCTTGAATTTCCACGTTACGCATTATTTGCGGGAAAATGTTATGATGACCACATGCAAAATGTAAGCATCCTGGTTATCAAAACCCTTTAACAGTAAATCATGCAGATGGTTAATCAAAATATTGGACATCACTTTTATTTCCAAAACATTTTTCTGATTTTTTATTTTTTTAAAAAATATTCCCCAGGTGAAGTCCACGAAGGACTTCAGCTTTTTGGATTTATTGCATCCATAAGTCATCGCTGACTGTGTGCAACAGCTTTGCATTTTCTAAGGCACAATTTTAAGGAAGTAACATGTAACTTTCCAGCAGATGATAGTCACAATGTCCTCCAATGACAACATCGTACATGGGTTTTCAATGACACGCAGTTTTGCGTGGGTATGCATCTCACATGCAAGCAGCTGTCTAGTGTTTAAATAAATAGTTGCTAGCTACAGAACAACTCAAAATTATTGCTTCCCTAATAACCACTTCATTTCCATTTAACAACACGTCAAAAGACAATGGATGTGCACGTAGATAAAATAAATCTCTATTAATTTAGTTTTGTCACGGTTTTAAGGCAGAATAGGTAGATTTTTTTCCTCCATTTTAAGTTGCATCGTGAACTGCTAAAACGGGCTATTTCCAATAACTGTTTACCAAAAAGTGCTAGGATATTTTACAATTGCAACACATCCCCTAACCTTGTCTGGGTATTGTAGATAAAGTGACACAGCTCTGACCGCTGTTTCGACGAGCTGCTGGATCACTTCAGCAAGGAGCACATGCTTAATCAAAAAGCACAAAGGAAAACTGGCCCAAACACAGGCAAGTTAAAGTTTTTTTGCCTACCGCTGCCAGCCTCCTCCCTGCCCGCCTTCCGCACTCCTGGGTTTTGCTGACTTTATTGGGGTGGGGTATGGAGGGACACAGGCTCAAGGCTGCTTAATTCCCTGCTCTGGAGGGCATCCAAACCACATGTGTTTCTCCGCATGAGATTTCAATCAACCGTAATGTTTGCATTTGAGCCAATCTCAAACCAACTCAGACCACTGAAACTCGCAATTCAGCTGTGTCCACCCACTCAGCCACCTCTCCCCCACATCACCTTTCATCAAGTTTAATAACAACACAGGCTGCTGAACTTAGTAAGAAGGATTGCTCCTAATGGGAATCTTGCCATCGTTAACGGTATACAGTCCTTAGGTTTAATGAAGAAATCTTTATTGGAGAGAATATTAAGCTATAGTCATGAACATTACTTGAGGTACACAAACAAAAAAGTCCTATCACTAAAGGTGCAATAATTTATTTGTATAACTCCTACCCTCCGGTGAAGGTAATATAAACACAAAATGCTTCAGAATTACAGGATGCATTATCAAACTAGTCTCTGTATAAAAAAAGTTATAGCTTCAGTTATAACAGAGAAGTCGTGCTGTGATGTTTAGTTTTTCAAATGCACTGATTAGATACTACCTTAAAATTACTTCTCAGCTCAAGTTGGCATATTCTATAAAGGTTCTGTAAACTTAAACTTTTTAATTCCTAGAAATATTAAAACAAAACAGCTTTATTGCATGTTTATTTTCTTATTACTTTTAAAAGAACAAGGTAACAGACTGGAAATCATAAACATATCTGAAAGGTGGGATTTTTTTTTCTGTAGTACTTAGGCTTTGCCTTCCCAAACATGGTCATACGTATTTTGCAAATTTTGCAAGAAGGGGAAAACCCAACATATTGCATTTTAAAGGAGCAGGTGCAGCGTTTTTATGAGTTTTTCAAAATGAGATGAGAGCCATGATGTCCATGGATTCAAGCTCTTACAAGTGATTGTCTGGAGGCAGCCGAAACATATGAGAAGAGAGTTCCTTCTTGAAAGTTATTAGGACTGAAAGTCATGTCACAATGTAGTTGGCTGTCCAGCAGCTGGATAAAACAAAACAAAACCAAGTCATTAGTTGACGAATTTTAAAAAACACACACAGGCTTCTCCTCATATGATCTCTACAATTCAAAAAACTGCATCTGGAAATATGTATCATTTGTGCCTTGCTTCTCGTTCTTCCCGCAGAGCTGGGGCGCTAACTGCAAAAAAGGATTCAGCGTAACTCCAGTGGAAATAGATTTTCCATGCCATAGCGACAAATGCATTCTGCACTTTTATTTCATTTTACTCCCAAAGTACTTGCAGGTATATTTACTTTCAGGCTCTGCAGTGGCAAAATAGTAAAGCAAAGGACCGATGAGTCATCTTTAGCTGTGCCTGGTTTGTGTTACATGATAACACAGAGCCCTTGTGTTATTTGACCATACCGGGAATCTCATGCATTTACTTCTTGCCTTTGACCTCAGCACTCACAAACCTGTAACGTTTCTCCGTGTTTGTCACTGAATACCAAGTTCCCTTCCTTGTGAGGTTTTGTTGTAGAGAAATAACCTACCAATAAAACCCCATTCACTTTTATTTGAAAAACAGAAGTATTTTGAACCCTGGACTACTACATAATCTTTAATGCTTTTCTCTCTTAAGGTTTTTGATAATTTATTTTGCAACAGAATCATCCACAGTTTCAAATAAGCTTCTGGCAGCCAAAATACTTCATCGAGGTGTCCATAAGCATCTCAAAACAATACTAATTAATTCTGGGTTGGTCAGAGACCATCAGTTGTGCACACTGCTGCACAGGTTTTCAGATGTAGCCGCAGGGGCAGGAAGGCATGAGCTGTGCAATCAGGCAACTGATTTTGTATTTAGCATCAGACTTCCCAGAACTGAAAGGCAAAATGCTAACATTTTGAAGAACAGTTTGTTCTTCATTTCAGAAATAGAGTCCCTCAAATTCTAGTTTTTTATTTGCAGTTTTACCAGGATCAGTCCCTTTGAAACTGTCAACAACAGCCAGTGTAACTTAAATTCAACTAACTCATATTTTGAGATTTGCATGAGGAATGAAACACAGCAGGAAGAGGCAATTTGTAGGAAAAAAGACAAACCCTTGCCATTATTATTCATCAGGAACCATACATATCCTCAAAATCTATTCCCTCTGTCATGGACCTGGTTACCGTTGTGCTAGGTATGTACAAATGCAAAACCTCACTACACGAAACGCTGTGCACAGCTCTGTACTGTATTGTCTAGCACTGCTGCTGTAGACATGACGATGGAGGGGGTGATTTCTACAGCATATAAGCTGATAAGTAATTTATTTGAGTCTTCATCTGCCCTCAAGGGACCTCAATTTTTATTTAAGCAAAAAGGATTAACAAGAAAAGCAAAATATGACTTTTATCACCTTCCTCTCTTTTTTGTGTAAAGATAGATGTGCAAATGTGCATTTTAAGGGTCAGGGCGTCATCCACATGAGGAAGGTTTACAGTATCAAGCCTGAAGGGGAAAAGCTATTTCTAAATGTGTCAGGTTAAATAAATAATCATAAAAAGTTGCTAACGTTTCTTAGCAGAATTTAAAAAAAAAAAATCACCAAACAAAGGGTTATACAATAGCACCCTCTAGCTCTGCTGATGGGGAAATCTCTCTCTCCTGAAACAGAGAAAAAAAAAATCTGTTCTTCTGCTGGCAAAGGTACCTTTCCTACTCCTGGATTTCTACAGCCACTGCTTTTGAGAGAGGAGAAGGGAAATAGTAAGTGAAAAGAACTCTGTATCTCCACTCATCAGTTAGGATTGTAGGCAGTGAATATACTGAAGAGTAACATGTATCAGGAAGGCAACAATATTTTTCTGTGTCTTACTGTTTTTCACAAAGGAGAAAGCCAGCATGAGCACTGCCCATCTCATACCACTGGTGACATCAGGGTGAAGCTGAAATGCTCAAGCCATTTGGTATCAGTCACAGAAATCCAGGACTAGGAAGGACATTCAAGTGACCTGCTCTATGGCAGAAAAATGCATCAAGTTTTTTTTCTGACATGCAATTGTCTGGCTCATTCTTCACAACTTGCAGCAAGCAACACTTTAGCACATGTCTGGGGATACCACCACAAGGATTCATTATGAGTTACAGAATGTTCCTTATATTTTCCTTGACGATTTTGTCTGGAGATGGAGGCCTAAAGACATTAAAAATGGGAACTTCTCCAAACAAGGGCCAGGATTCTAGACCTAGTAGAAGTGTCTGCATTGTTGCATGTGACGTGACAGATCCAAACCTTCAGGATATGCAATGTGTGCACACTGTGGAAGAGTTTATACACAGAAACAGCCTTTAAGTCTAATATTGCTGAGCAGAGATCCTCTGGGCAAGGGTTAATGGGCTTGGAAATCTTTTTTGATACAAGAGGATGATTAAAATAGGATGGGAAGGCTCCCCTTCCCATGGCGATGCTATGCCTGAGTAGCAAAGCCATTTAGGCATAAGGGAGAACACATGTCTTCCAGGAGGAGAAAAACTCACCAATTAAAATCATGGCAACAGTACTGTTAGAGTTCACTGTCCTTTGGACAGGATTTGGTACTTACTTCTGGATCGGATATAACAATCGTTGCAGTTAAGAAGGCCATTTCTAATCCTGACATCTGTCCCACTTGCTGCATCTCCCAGCTGTCCCTTGCAAATGCCACACTGTCAGTTGAAGAACAGAGAAAGTAAGAGAGACGGTACCCTTCTATCTGTCACAACTTTCCCCAAATTTTGACTTTTGTTTCAATAGTTCTTGGAACAGCGAGAGAAAAAAAATAACCCCCAGAACCCAGCCCATACTCCTAGGGAGCACTGCAAATCAGTGAAAGGTTTATTTTAGAGCCAACACTATTTAGGGCTTCAGCAGTCTCCACTTATACAGAAGTGAAGTCTAGTGATTTTAAGGGACATCTGATTTTGACATTGCATTCTGGAGCCAGTCCATTTGTGCTGGACAAAGCTCAGAGAGGCCAGAGGTTTAGTTTGGGTAAATGTCCAAAACCAAAAAAGGCTTCATGAATGTCTAAAACCAATTGGGCCAAAGATAATGGAAAAGGACACTTTTTGAGTTCTCTGGAAAACACTATCTTCAGAACTCAAGAACAGTTGTGAAGTATTTCTGTTGAGAGCTCTGGTGAAAGGCCGAAGACATCATCCATTCCATAGTCAAAGCTTTCCAACCAATCAAAGATGGCTTTGGGACTGACCAGGTTTTTGAAAAAAAATCACAAGGTAACTAATTTTATATTTAAAAACAATGAGTACAACTGGGAAATTATATGATGCTTCCCTCTGTGAGTGGGGAAGCTAAGTTTGCTTGCTAAATCACAGGTTTTAGTCCAATTAACATGTCTGACAACAAAATAACACATTAGCTGCATTACTTCCACTTCTGTACAAACAAACAAACGCACAAACAAACATAGATAACAAACATGCCAATCCCTTGGTCCTCTCACTTTCAATTTCACATCTACAGCCCTCAATATACCCTTCTGCTCACGCTGTGCATGACTTGAGATTTTTCTTAACAAAGCAAGAGACATACCCTGAAGCACTGAATATGGAAATAAAGACCAAGCGTTTCAATAATCATGGCAGCTCCTTTTCCAAGAGGAAGCCCACAGGTAGAACAAAGCTTCTTTCCGCTGACAGACCTAGGAGACAAACATGACTTTAAGAAAACAGAACAGCAACTGATGCTAAAACATAGCCAAACATTTACACAGGTTTATGGAGAGGGACAGGATGGGAGGAAGGAGCATTGGGGGGTGTCACACAAATACACATTGGCCCTTCAACCGTGTTGCTGATCAGCCTGCACATCTGCCTCGCAGACAAGCAAGCAGAGGACTTAAAATGCTTGAATGCACAGCAGCTCAGATCCATTTCCCTGCCAGTCTGCTGTGCTAGATCAAGGGAGATGCAAGCCTTTTAAGAGAGACCCAGACGGCAGGGAACCATGCCTGTGGATTACCTAGGCCCAGTCAACGCCACAGCGATCAAAGCAGATATTCACACAAATTACCCGAGTGAGATTCTCAGCCTTTGGTTTGCAAATGGGTTTGCTTACTGCAAGTCAGAAGGCAGGGATGCTGCTCTTACACCCAAATAAGCTGGCAAAGTCTATAGTAGCAGCGTAACTGCAGTAGCACAGACCAGGCATCAGGCACTTGCTAACTAATTTTAGTCTATGCTGCTGCAGCTACATGCCTGTTAGTACTCCAACTAGTTAGAGTAAAGCTGAAATCAGATCTCCTTTTTTTGCAATGCAAAAATACTTCAACTGTCTCCTTAAGCTTCAGTCCTGTCTAGACCTTTCTAGTAAATCAGCTGTTTAATGACAGCTGAGTGAGGGATCACAGCCCCAGGAATAACTGGTACCCTTTTTCATAATGGTTTTAATGGCAGTGCAGTTAGTACTCCAACTAGTTAGAGTAAAGCTGAAATCAGATCTCCTTTTTTTGCAATGCAAAAATACTTCAACTGTCTCCTTAAGCTTCAGTCCTGTCTAGACCTTTCTAGTAAATCAGCTGTTTAATGACAGCTGAGTGAGGGATCACAGCCCCAGGAATAACTGGTACCCTTTTTCATAATGGTTTTAATGGCAGTGCAGGTGCACACTTCTTCTTCCCTTCCCACCTGTCTGCCAGCCTGCCAGAACTGTTGTTTGTCTAGTGAGATGAACTTGAGACCAAAAGGGATCCCTTGTCATTTTGTGTCATCCATGCTTTTTTCAGCCAGGGCTGAAACCAGGAGAGAAACTTTGGGATACCTCATGAGTTCTGAAAAGATGGTTTGATGAAACTGTACACAGATAAGCAAGTTTACAATATCTTGCTTTATGGTTTTGGTGCAACAACATAATAAGCTACCAACAGAGACAGATCTGGACTGCATCATGACAAAAAAGCCATTAAAAAAAAAAAAAAAAAGAGACAGAAGCAGCAGAAAGACTCATCACAACCAGAAAACTGTCCTTGCTTCCATCTAATCTCTGTGACTCCGGAGCCCATCATTCTTTATCCCACCATGTACACTGACAGCACAGGCACATCACTGTCTTGTTGCTTCATTGTCATTATTCCTTTTAGAATAACTTCCCTGGTTTCTTCTCCTCCCCTACAACCTTAAGCCTTCTGCTCACATCCCTCTGTGTTATTCTTGAGTCCACCTTTGTTTTCACTTCTTCTCCACTATCAGAGAATAAAGTGCTTTGGGAAATTTCTTAAGAGAAGTTTTCTAATCTTTTAGTGGAACAATGAATTACATCCCATCCATTGTTTCCAAAACTATATTTTCTTCAGGAAAAGATCTTGGAAAAGGGTCTCAGATCAGGATATAGCTGCTGAATAATATGAAGTAGCTCTCATGACTAGCTACATGTAGCAAGAAATGATCTGCAATCCCACCAAATCTGCAGTGTTACAATTAGAAAAAACAGAAGAAATTGTTCACATAAAAAATTCCTAATAGTTTCACTTCAATGCAAATGGCATTGGAAGGAGGGCTTTGCTATCAAACGTGAAGAAAAATGTTATTTAAATAGAACAAAAACTTGCTATGTATTCTGTGTTGTATTACTTTACCCTATTTAATAAGCCAACTGATTTTAATACACCCCAAATTATCAGTGATTCTATCAGGCTGCAGTTACCATTTATTTAGAGTTGGTATATATCTCATTGAAAGCTGCACAGCTCATTGCCTGAGAGAATCAAATCTCCAGGAGGTTAGCACGAATGTAGAAAAATTAAAAAAAAAAAACAAAAAAAACCCCCAAAACAGAAAAAAAGCTAAATGTGTTTCAAGTTTGGAAATTAAGGGAAGGATTTCTTTTTAAATCAGCAAGTGTTGAAATGTCAGTCGGTGACAACATCTAGAGCATACCTTGCTCCTGAGCATGTGACTATTCAACATCCTCTGGCTTAAGTGCTCTGAACTCATGCTTTACTGCTTACTTTGACTGGGGCTTATATTACCCCATTTCAATTTCATTGAAATTTCAATGATCAAGCAGAGTCCTACAGCTGCTTTCTGAACTGTGTTATTTGAAAACATAACAATACTGCTGAAGTAGGCAAGAGATATGGGAGAGGGAGCTACGTGTTTATTCCGTGGACAGTTATGAATTGCAACATTTAGAAGAATTAATAGTGCATCCACATAATACTAATGTGATTTACACTGCGGCAGTTCACCAGCGACTACAAGATGTATTTGGTCTGCAAAATTCCTTATTGACCTTTTGTACCTGTTGGGTGACTGACTTGGAGCAGCAGGAGAGCAGGGAGATGATGGCCCAGATTGGAAGTTCTCATGATAGCCTGCCCTAAAATACAGGAGAGAAAATGCATTACTACAGCTGAAGAACAACTAAAACCAAGGGATTTGTACTGAGAAATTCCAGCTGATGGATTTCAGGATTCCCAGCTCTCAAGATTTTACCTAAGGAAAATAAGGTATAAATTTGCTGTCCACTGCTATTTTGATACAATGAAAAACAGCACACATTTTTTGGTTCCGAGTTTTGGTCTGCTTGCTATTGCTCAATCAGATAACTCACAAGGTAATCAGCCATGTGCAGACTCCCACCCACCTATCAACCCAACATAGCTCACACCATGACAAAGGAGGGTTAAGCCAAGGCACACCACCTTGTACTCTCTGTTTCCCAAGAGATGTGCACAGAAGCACACTAGTAGAGCAGATGTGGGGTTGTTGATGGAGGGTGTGCCCTTTACTGAGTGAAAAGGAAGCTACCAACACTGAAAAGTGGTTTATTCTTATTTGTGTCCATTTTACCCAGCAAGAATTTGGTAAGAAAAACCATGGATGTTTTTTGTTATCAGAAATCATAGGATCGATTCAACCTCTCAGTACTTAAAGCTGTTTACAGATTAAATAACAATTTTCTCAAACACACATGAGCAGTTTGTTATGAGGAACAGGTAATCAAACCCCAACCTACATTAGTTTTGACTGGATACAAGCTTCATAGCAGTAACACATATCTTGCAGGAGACTGTGTTCATATATATGCTAATGAAAACAGATGTTCCTTTCTCATTACAGAGATACACTTTTTGCAAATATTAGGTAAACATATCCCTTGTTTACTGAAAGAACTGGTGTTACTTTTTAGCAATGCTCACTCAAAAACACAAGGCAAAACATCACAGAAGAAAAAAACCTCACCCAATTTATAGCAGAAAGAAAATCTCTATTTATCTTCTTTTAAAAGCTATAATCCTTAAAGAACTAGAAAGTAGCAACCAATGTGTGTTTAGAAGCTGGGGAATGAAGCTCTCAGATAACAATTTCAGAGAGGCAGACTTCTCCTGACATTCCTACCCTGATATTTAGCCACTTACTAGCTATAAATGTTTGTCTTAGGGACTTAAAACAAATGAAGCACATGAACAGTTAGGCAGATGAGTCTTTAAAGACCTAAGGAGAAAGAAGACAGAGAATGGCAAGCAGGAGGTGTCCTCCCTTGTGAAACTAGTTACTGGGGTACCCTTAATGAGAGACGATAAATGTTAGCAGTCTTGGTGGGAAAGCCAGGAATCAAAGGTGTCTGCACACTGCAAGGCTACCCATGAAACTTAACCAATAAAGAATGCAGTATAGGAATATAAAGGAGAACAGAGTGAGCAGGACTTCTCAACCTCTGCAATAACCTTTATTTTATGTTCTCACCTCCTCGTTTCTCCTGTGGAGCTCAGCTGTTGTCCCGCACTCTGGCGCAGGAATGGTCTCTGACGAATGTCCTCTGTGCGATGTGGGGACTGCTTTGTCAGCAACTGCTGATTCCAGGAGACGTCTACAATGGGAGGTGGGGAAATCTCAATACTTATGATAAAATGCTTTTGCCAATACTTATAGACCAGCATAGCTTGTGGGCTCACCGTAAAGGAGGCATGAGATGTACTGTTACTTAAAAATAAGTTCTTGGAAACCTCACACAAAGTCAGATACAGGCTCTGCTACACCAGAAGACCTCTATGGGACAACATCCCCCTGCATTACCTTCACATACACATGACCTGCCCTGCTGCTGAATCTCAGTTTCTGAAGGGGGAAAGGGAGAGGTCAAACAACCATCCATGAGTAGCACTTGGGAAAATAAAGTATTTCTGTCCTAAGGAAGGAAGCACCAGAGAGACAGAAACTTCCCGAGGTGCCTGGGGATCCAAACTTCTCAATAGCAAGAGTTAAGAGGAAGGTGGTGTAGTCACTGCTTTCCATGAGCCTATCGATAAACAGATTTCTTCCCTTGTAATTTCCTTCTGCGTTTCAGATGGTTGCACAAGGCTCAATGACAGTAACAGCCTCCCAGCAATATGCAATGATCTGTGTGATGCCCAGGCAGCCGACCATGCCATCTTTGAGACAGAGCGCACTGCCTGGATCCTTCCAGACAAATTTTGTGGCTCACAGGCTGGGGAGAGCCTTACCGTGCTATGCACCAACCAGCTAGTTTAGAGGAGAAGAAAACTTTACTGGGGCCTATAAAAGGCCTGATCCCTATTTTTGGTATCAAGACAAAAAAAACCCCTACTCCTGACTAGTTTAAGGACTTAAGGAGAGAGCAAAGATGTGATGCTTTAAGGGGCAAGAAAGGAGCTGTCAGAATATTTGTAGGGAGCCAAGTTGATGAAAAGAACCTAGAAAAAAGCCTGATTAGCAGAAATAGTTAAAAACTGTCAAACTTTTGAAGTTTGCTTAATCACTTCTACAAATCCACACGGATGGATTACTGGGTAATATCTTCTGCTTTCTTTATTTGAGCAACCTTTATAGCAACCTTAAGAATACAATAAAATTGTGCCAGGGAAAGCAAACCTGCTAAGTTTAATAAACTGAATTTGCATTTGGAGTAAGTAATAACACTGAAACCTTTTCTATCCATAGACGTTTCATTTTTTGGAATCATCAATTTTTATGCTATACTGAAAACAAAAATCTAAAACTTGATTTAAAAATCTACATTTGTTTTCTGTCTTTAGTCCTACTTATTTACTTTCCACTGTTCACTCGCATTAGATAATGATGCTAAAGTAGTGAATTTGCCTTTTTTTAGGGTGACCCTGTTGACAGCAGGAAATTTCTTCATTCAGAAAACATGAATACTTATGGGAGCTTAAAAAAATCATTAATTGTAAATGTCATCAGACATTTCTAATGACAAAATTGAGATAGGCGTCCCTTTAGACTTGGCTTGAAAAGGTTATGCATCACAGGTAGTGATTTTTACTGGACTGAAATGGACATAAAAAATCTAATTAGCTATCAAAACACAAAATAAGTGTTGGAAATATGCTCTCTGTATCAAGACAAATCCTATATGTATGTACAATTATGTAAAAGATGGAAGATAACTGTGTTTAACTACTACTGTGAACATGCGGGCCTACAAATAAGATTCTTGCAGCTGAAATGCTCATCTCTGATGAAAATAAGATTTTAAATTTCATCTTAACATATTTATCTTTACTAAAAGAAAACAACTTTTGCATCTGAGACATTCAAATTTTGAAGATATGCATGTGCTGGTAATTTCCAAAATTCTTTGAGTTAGATTTCAAGCCACTGCAAACACCTGTGAGATTTCTATCTGGAAAAGAATACATGCGTATGAAGAGTCTTGACTCTCACCCTGAGTCAAAGGCAGATTCAGCCTGGCAGGCGAGCTGCGCTCCACCACCGGCACCTGGTGGTCCTGTTTACATCCTTTCAAGATACCCGCCTCCTCCAGGTGTCCTGAGAGCACTTTATTTCCACTGCCAATAAAAATAAGTCACATTGTATAAATAAAGCCGGGAAAAATGCCACCTAGAATATAATGGCAAAATCAGACTTTTGAGTATCAGTCTATTTTTTGCAACAAGATTTTTGTTATGGTGTCAGCAACGACAAGGCAATGGGGATAAGTCATAAATTAACAAGTTTGTCTCCAAACACACCATGTCTTCCTGCTTCCCTAACACACTGCCACTTACACACATGAAAGATCATTCTGGATTTGTGGAAAATGGCTTCTTTGCCAGAGAAACACCTTTCCTCAGTGTTCTCTATACAGCGTTCTGCATCATCAGATGCTTCTTGTCTTTGTGAAAGCTGTTATTAGCATTTGGGCAAAGACCAGGACTTTGAACACCATCTGCCAAGTTTGGGTGCAGCACTTCCAAGATAGCCAGGCAATCTCACACAGATTCTGAGTGAAAACAGCTACTGCTCCTTTATTCCTCCAAACGGCTTCTGAAACTTGTACACAAGACACAGCGCAGTGACATACAGAGATGTCTGAGCTATCTAAGCTCCGAGTGACAGAGTTTCAGCAAAGCCATGTGCCGAAAAGGCAAGCCTTCTGATATGCGAAACTAGCACTGCACATTGCCATATATGCGTAAGCCTGCGGCAAGTAAATATTGATCGGGATATATTACACCTATCACAAGGCCACCAGATGCTGATGCTCCAGCATCAATCATGGGCAGATGTGACATCCCAGAAGTCTACAGAACACAAAGCTCCACAGGGCTAAGAAATGCTTAGGCTTGATCCATACCTCCTCTTTTCTTGCCAGAGTTCATTTTCCTTGCTTTTCAGAGATGGCATACTGTCCTGCTCCCAGAGCAGCTTTTTCTGCCTTGTAACTTCTTTCTGTTTGCCTTCCTCTGGAGAGCTGTTTGAATCAGCTGTATTCTAGAAGACAGCAGGGGAGGGAACAAGGAGCTTCCCTTGAATTTGGCATCACCACATGCATGAGAAAAGCACAGGCTGCCCCCAGATATATCATGTTGACACACCTTATTATCATAAAAAACATCTCACATTATACAGTAGATTCATTTGACCTTGGTAAGGCTAACTTTGGATTTTACAAAGACTTCAGCTACAACCATCAATTAATTGTATTAAATTGAGCGCGAAACAAAAAAGCGCAGGACTGACCAATTATGAGATGGTGTTCAGGATGGCAAAATAAAACTTCCCACTACATATTTTTGGCAGAAATCCTGGAATGACTGAGAATCTAGACAGTCTCCCATTGGACTTGGGAGGACTTTGTCAGGGACCTCAGCTCGTCTCTGCCTAGGGGCAGAGCATTACTTACATGCTCTGGGCATTCTCAAATGGCAACACCAGTAATACTTCCAAAATGGTACTGGAGTGGGTCATACCTGACTGGTGGAGCTTGAGTAAGCCATGGCATGAGATCCTTCACTTCTGGGTGCGGGCATTGTCCTGAACATGGCATAACCAACTCCACCCAGGAAGTTACCACTACACAGCCATGTGGAAAATAAGCTATGGCTGATGCCCCTCCATAGGGATGAGTGATAAGAGGGGGCAGGAAGGGTGAGTGGAGAACCAGATGATACAGTACTCCTAACCCTGGAGTTGAATGGAAAAAGGCAGATGACTTCTTGGGTGTGGGTGCCTTAGGCAGGAGAAAATTATGTCTGGGAATCCCAGATTTATTCTACTGATCTCACCTGGGGTGTCATTCTCTGATCTCTGGCGAACACTTATTTAATTAGATGCATCGAGTTAAACATTTTTTGCCGCATAAGTAAAAAAAAAAAATAAAAAAAATCAGAGAGTGAACATTCCTCTGTTTGTTTTGCTGCTTTCTAGGACGGATGGTGGAAGAGAAAAGGAGGAAAAGTGGGGAGGCAGGATTCAGTCTCATCATCGATATGCTTAAAGCACTGTCTTACACTCAAGATTTTGTATGCAGGGAAATCCCTTCAGATTTTGTTGGCTTTGAGAAGGTAGTTAAAACAAACAGAAACAGGTGACTGTTTTTTCACAACACCAGTTAAAGAAGAGAAGCAGCTGCAAAGAGAGAAAGCACCACCCTCTGCTCTAGTCCAAAATGGGATGGTAGCAGTTTGCTTGGGAGCATGGCTCTTCAGCTATAAAAATATACAAGCTACAGCACTCTGAGGTATCACCAGTTATGGAAACGATCCAGGGAATACTCTTACTCTTACTGTTCCCAGACTTTGTTAGTTTTTAATGAAGAATGAAACTTTGCACTGAAGATGCCTTAGTCTTTATTGCCTTACTACTCCACGAGAAACTCACCGCTGTCTTGTTTCCTTCAGTGGTAGAGGAAGAAGAGGAGAGGAGCTCAGCAGAGTTTGAAGAAACAATGAATGGAACTACAGTATCCTCAATTATCTTGCGTTCCTAAAAAAAGAGGATCAGGAGAGAGTGGGGGTTAAAAATACAGAATGTCAACTATGAGCTTAAAAAGTAGAAGCATAAAGTTTGGCTACGCATCATATTTAGATGGCTAGGTAAGGACCTGTGGTACCAAAAATAATAGTAACACCTCAATTTTTAATTTGCTTCAAAGTTTTGCACTCCCTTTCCTTTCACCGTTACCATCTTTAAGATGGGATGTCCAAAACTGGAAAGAATATTCCACTTGGGATGGCACCGCTGTTTCTCACAACACCAGTCTACTATATTTCATATAAAAATATGGCACATGAGAAACTTATTCTGAAAGTTGAAAAAAAAAAATTTCTTGTTCAGACCACAAGTATGGTCCTCAAGCACAGATGATAAGACATCAATTTGCATAATGTACAACTAATGAAACTGAAAACATGAATATTTTCCAATTTCCTGCAATAATGACGCACATACGACAGAAGAAAAACACTATCTTGTATATTGTTAATATTTTACAACTGCAAGCTTTGAACATTTCCTGTGAATTTTTTTTGAAAAGCAAGGCCAGATTACAAAATACCTACATGATCAAGCCCAAGGCAGACAACAACTTCATCTGGAGTTCTACCAAGTCCAGGCACCAAGTACACACCAAAAAGCACCAGGCTCTGCCTCCAGAGGGAAGTCTTAGCGTGCCCAGACACAACCATACTGACTCACCCTGACTTGCACAGCAATTAGACACCTCCACCTATGCGGAGGTTCTGAGGATACCTGTCTAAATATTTAAATATTTTTCCTCAGTGCCTATGGTAGTGTTTAAGAGAAACAATCCTCCTGAGAATTCAGCCTTGAGAAGGCTTTTCAGTAATTAATCTAGGTATGGGATTTTTTTAGTTATGTGAGTGGGTGCATTTAAATGCAAAAAAAGTCAATAAACAACCTCCTCCTTTGAGCCTTATACCTCCTCATAGTATCTACGTTCCTCCTCTTCGACTTCTCTCTGGGCCTTTTCCCATTCCTCTTTCAGCTTGTCTTGCTCCTTCTGATACTTCTCCTGTAAGAAGATACAAATACAGGTAAATTCAGAGCATTCTGTATTAGGAGTAAATTCTGTAGTATCTCCACAGTGAAAATGAACCTGCTAAAAGTGGTTTAATCAGAAACAGGAAGATAAAAATTTGAAACATCCATGGGTGTCAAAAAAAGCTTCTTTTCCTCCTCTCCCCACTTGTTTCTAGCACTTAGATTTAACACCTTCAAACCATGAGGAACTTTTAACATACTAGAAGTAGTTTAATTTGTTAGAAGCTTTTAAATCTTTGGTCAGAAATGAAATTTATGCTCAACAATTTCAATAATTCCTTGTTTATTATACAGTATTAAGAGTTCCAAAAAGCTATCACACACCCCAAAACACTTAGGCATGGATTTTACATTAAAAACTTCAGCAAAGTAGCATATAAACAAGCAGGTTTTGCAGATACTGGTACTACTTTAAAAGAGATGCCAGTACAATTTAATTAATGATGAATACCTGTGGAAGTTTAAAAGATAAATGAATAGTGTGTAAAGGTTTGAAGAGGGTAAGCTTATAATTAGCTAAGTAGCTTATTTTCCTCCTTGATGGAATTATTTATTGAGAATTGTTTTCACACAGTTTTGCATGAAAAATTATCTCAAAGAGATCTTTAAAATTGTTTGACAGAACTGGTTTGAATATGGGGAAAAACAGTGACTTCCATATCCCTTTTACACCAGTTCCAACTTCTGTTCAAATTAGAAACCACATCTGCCTAATTCAGAAGAGATGCATTTACTATTGAGAGAACACCCACACCGCCAGAAAAACTACGATGAGAATTTTACACCATTTTAAGAGGAAACAACCATATTAGCTAAAAAGAAATAATCTCAAGAAAGCAATAGAGAGACACACAAGTCATTCTTAAAAGACGAAAAGACTCCATTTTATTATTCTCCATCTTTTGACAGTTGTTTGCTCTTCTGTTGCATGGAGGAAAGATACGGTTTCTTTGGGACCAAACCTAACCATAGTTTCAAAAGACAATACTGACTGACAGGGAGATTCAAGTTCTCAGGGCCACTGCACTTCTCCCAAACAGGACACAACCCCAGACCTTTTACAGCTTACTCTACCACTAGGCAAAACTAGTTGTTGTTTTGAGGGGGTTTCCGCCCCTCCCCCTCCCCCCCCAAACCCTTTGTGTCCAAATTCAGTTTGATGTTTTCCAAGGAGAACCTGTGAACAAAGCAGAAGTCTACAAAAATCTATTAAGATCATCATTTTAAAGAAGAGTTGCATAGGCCTCCGGGTCAGCAAATCGTCAGTCTCGAGAAACAGGCTCCAAGTAATTAAGAGTCTCACAGTCTATACTCAACATACTTTAAATATAGTTGAGGATCAACATTTCGTTTAACTCCACACTGGAATGCAGAACTAAGCCCTTTTGGTCTTTCCACAGAGTGGGGAAGGGAGATGTTAAGAGTGCCCAAACCACAGAGAACGTGTGTGTATGCTCACATTCTTATTCATCTGCCACAGAATTCACTCAAGCATCCCCAGAGGATGTGGAAGACATGACATGAAATGCCCAACTTTCATCCAAAGGGACAATTCAACAGCTGAGCCACACAGTGGAAGAAATGTAGCTTCTTCCTTACCTGAAGCAAGCGTTCTTGCTCATGCTGCCACCTCTCCTGGCGCTTTCGCTCTTCCTCTGGATCCCAGGACCAGAAATTGAAACGCTTGCGTGAAGGAAAACCAAGCTATTAGACTTTAGCACTGTACTTGAGAAGGCTACCAAGAAAGCTGCGCTTCATCTGGCCTACCCCTGGTGGCAATGTTAAAATAGGAAATTGAGAACTAGATAATGGTTCTCTCAGTTAGTAGATAGTATTCTTAGCTTCATTGACACTTGGGATTGCCCACAGGTATCCAAATGATAAAATAATCATTTGGTTTGCAAAGAAAGGTTTGGGAAACTTCAACTGGAGGGATAAAAAAGGAAAAAGATCTGAAAGAAAGCTCTAAGCAGCACTGAACAGATATACCTGCAGGTACTCAAACTTAAAGAAAATCTCTATTTTTCTTTCTATAATCTTCTGCACAACATGCAAAGCAATTTGTGATTGTAAAATATATTCTCTCATTTCATACGGCTGCCAGCACAACTGCCTATAGCCTTGTTTTAAAATTTTTATCCATAATGAAATAAAATCTCAGGCTTCAGTAAGAATCCCATTACATGATACATTTACATGTTTAAAATCCTTATAATCAAGGGCAATTTTAGACACTTGATGTCATATTCCTTTCCGCTAGCAGTTGTATTAGAATCTGATAGGAAGAGATTATGTCTATTTTCATGTCACAAACAGAATATGAAATACTGTGTACTTTAGTGTAGCATTTGTGGTGGGGTTTTTTTTTTTTCATTGGGGAAACTGTAGAATTATGGTCTCTAATTTCTATTTAAAGTAGAATGGATAACTTGGAGTTACATATTATTTTCAGATTATGAAGCTTTAGTGGCTCCAGCAACCGAGACTGTATAGCTACCATTCCCTCTGGATAAGAGGAGAATGCACAAATTCCAGATTCAGACCATATCTTGATTTGGGTTGTATTTTTATTCTCTCATTTCCGTGAGAAAAAAAAAAATCTCATTCTGATTTGGGGATGTCACAAGACAGTTTGCATCAAAAATTCACTTTTGCTAAACACATATCTCTAAACCAAACAATGACGCAAAAAAGGTACTCACATTTGATTTGTCACCACTATCAGAATCAGCTATTAAAAAAAAACAACAGAAAAAGGAAAGATTAAATTTAACATAGCAAAATGTGCTTAGCCTGCAATTAAAGCTAGATTGTATCCAAATAAAAAAGCTTCATGTTAGTTTCCTATTTGCTCCCACAACCAAATGCAAGGACGAATCGCAAGCAAATAAACCAGAAAAACAGATTACACCCATCACCAACAAAACTACTTTTTGTCTGGGTAAAGAGGAGCACAATACTAACTAACATCAGGTCTACTCTACCACTAGCTAATGCCATCTACTTCTGGCCACAGACGTTAGCAGTGTTCGGACACTGAGTGTTACCTACTTTGATCTACTTTTCCCTTCGTGATTCAGTGCAAGGAAGGAAAAAGCACAGCAAAGCTAAAAGGATGGGACTACACTATTCAAGAGCCACAGTTACGAAGAGAACCACTGCCATTTTCTATCCAAATGTCTTTGAAGATTAGGCTGATTTAAAGAAATTAAGGGAAAAGTATTTATAGGCAAGTGATTTCGTTTGGGTGCCTGAAACCAGAGCATCACAACAACGTGCAACCCAACAGCTCTTTGTCAACTGTGTTTTCACTTTCTACGAAAGCAAGAGGTAGAACAAGTCCCCGTGATCATCAGCTTTCACCCCAGCCCCACGTCTGAAGACACCTACGACTGGAGGCAGCAGAAGGGCTGAAGCTGGTCTTAGCGCTGCATTTACCTGACTGCGAGAAAAACTGTGAGCGCCGCCAGTTGTTGCGAACCCTAAGCGGAACCGCGGCCCCGCGGGGCGGCTCTGCAGGCAACGGCACGGAGACAAAACAAGAAACACAGCGTGGTCAAAAGACGATGACGGACTCTCAGACCCCGAGCCACCTTGGCCACGAGAGGGATTTTGACTACAATCGCTTTGGCCCATCGCAGCTAGTTTACAACGGACCTGCAGATCACACGGACTGCCTGTATGTAAGTGCTACTGTTGTAACGTGGCACCTAACCTTACATGAGAGCTCTAGCAAACTAATGCTAGTCAAGGGCAGCCACCCCTTCAAGTCTCTGCATCGTGCTCGCATTCATTCCTATTGCAAATACACATTTAAAGGATTATGTGATCCTTTCAGCGCTTTATGTGCTGTGAACGCTAGAGAGCAGCCAAGTGTTTCAGCATCACTCAGAAAATAGACAAGAGACCTACAATCTGTTACTTGATGTCTGGATTGATTCGTGCCTAACATAAAATGATATTGTTCTCAAAGCCTGTTTGGAAAGCACTCTCCCACTTAAAACAAGTGAGACTTCTATTCCTTTTCAGACAATCCTGTTTTCCACAGTAGATCACCTTCAGTAGTTTCAATCTTGAAAACACTAGGATAATCAGTATATTACCTATACATAAACCAACCACCTAATAAGTTCTCAGGGTGAAGAAAACTTCAGATGATTCTTCTCTCTCTCCTTCTTTCACAATACCTACATATATGCATCTCTAAAATCAATATAAAATTAAACTACTAAATATCAATCTCTGCCTTGCAAGAACTCGTGATGGGCACATCCCTCAATGTGACCTGCACAGTATTGTTCACCTGTGAAAAGGAGCTGCATGTGAGCAGCTGATTGCAGAATTTAACTCCAGAAGTTTTTACTGTGAGATAAAACCAATTGCTAAGCCATTTTCATCTGTGAGCAGCAGTACTAATAAAATATAATACTCATTGACGTAATTTTATTGCTAGGCCAAGTGCAAGATAGGGCTCTCCTTGCCCCCCTCTGTTGTGTCACAATTCTGCTGTTGTGTTTAAGCAGAACAGCCAGAAAAGTCCTTTGCATCACAGAAGCCACACTACCAATATCAGTCAGATGTAACTAGAAAGTAACCATTTTATCTCCAAAACTCTCCAGGTCATTGATTAGGCACTTCTCCCTGAACACCACATATCCATTTACTGTCCGGCTGAGTTGTTCAAACGCTGTTTGCTCACCTTGTAGACCAGAATTCTGCAGAGTAACTTGGCTGGTCTCAGGTAGTTTCTTTAAAAATGGCAATACTACACTCCCCTCTTGTTCCAGGGTTTTTGGTTTCATCACCTGCTCAGACATTTGGGAGCAGAAAACAACATTCAAAAATCAGCAGGCACAATCAAAGATTAACTTAAACCCTTTCTACTTATTTTCTGAATCAACATTATCAAAGATGAATCCTCCATCTCCAGAATTTCAACATGGAATTGCAATACTGAAATCCTGGAAATAACCAGCAGCTCTTTGTTGTTGATATTCACACTGTCCGGCCCACTAAAGCTGATCCTAACCCAGGACCAACATCTAACTTACCTGACAGAGCAGTATGGTCATAGCCATTTGTTACTTCTGCCACCACCTGCACTTGTTCAGCACTTCAAGAGGACTAAGAGTGTAAGCTCCACTGCCTACACCTTCTGGATACTCTGCCCTCCCAACACGCGGTGGGACTGGGGTTTGCAGGTTAAATTCTCATTTCTGCTCCAGCCAGTTTACACGTTCAAACGCTACAAGCAGACACTGGGGAGTTCCTCCTGAGGGGGAACTCTCTGATGACCATAGGATTTGGCACAGAAACCATCCTCCAGGTCATTCTCTGGCAGATTGAATGAACTCGTGAAGTGACATTATATAGAGAAAAATACCAATTTGCACAACAAACATTTCCATGTGAGATCTTTTGTTTTCCACTCCCTCTCTTTCTTGCCCGTACGTACCTCCGGTGTAGCAGGGAGGTCTGCTTCCTTCTGCTGCTCCATTTCAGGTTTCTTCACTTTCTCACTTGAAACAGCTTCCTCTGAAGGGACAGGACTGGGAAGAAATTCTAATCTCTTCACAACAGGGCTGGCACAAGTTGACTTGAATTGCTTTTGATCTGAACCTAATCCACACATATAAGAGATAATGTTGCAAGGTTAAGACATTTTTTCAGTTAAAATGTAGACCTATTTCTTACAATTAGATTTCTTACTGGTTATACTGTGAGCCCATTTACGTATGTTTTCAAAAAATAATCTTCTTTCTTCAACACAGGCAAAACTAATCTCTCAGAGAAGACAAGGCTTTAAGGGTGAAATTCACCTGACAAAATGTAGGTGCTTACACTTGACTTGGGCATCACCCAAGGGACACCCTTCATGGTCAACAAAGACAGAGAGGCAGTTCTAGGGGAAGAGTCACCCAAACTATTTCAGACACGCCTCTTCAGCTGAGATGCGCAGTAACCTACAAAGTGCCTACTGAGGTATAGATCTCTTTACTGAAGTCGTGTGATGAATCCTATCCTAAGATGCTACAGCTATACCACAATTAACATGGTCTCACTGTCAGCACTGAAGGATATTCCAGCTTGCCTGTTTCCACTAAACCATGTCAGTCAAGCAGCAGACAGCAAACCATTGTGCTAACAGGAAGCCTTGGACTGGAATAACCTAGATGTCATTCAGCTCCTAAAAAAACCCAACAAGTTGATGCTGGTTTACAGCAGAAGGGACCAGGAGTGCACAGGCCTACAGCTGAAAACTGTGACAGCTAAACTACTGTCAGCTGGTACCACCATTGGAAGCAGAGCAGTTTCCAGCATCCCAGGCAGTGCACAAGCACCCGGACATCTCTCTGACCTCCTAAAGCAGAATCTCAGCTTCAGATCCTGTCCCCTCTCCAACCATGGCAGCAGCGGCAGCTTCCAAATGTACCTTGTTGACAGGTTAGGAGAGTGAGCTAAGAAAGAGATGCACCCCAAGGCTCCACTAAGAACCTGCACGCAAGCAGAGACAAGAGCTGCCTGCTGCCAGGCAGATGCACACCACTTTGGAGCAGTTCCCACACCATTAGTGGCATAGGGGTCACAGCACGGAATTATCTGGCTTGTATTGAACAGCGGAGGAGGTTGCTTATTCTACAAGAAGGTCACACAGTTTGGACCACATCTATCCCTCCAAAGCAGACACAATGAAAACCCATGTTCCTTTAACATTTCAAGTTTTGCAATGCTGTCTCAGTTTTCCTTGCCAGCCAATATTAAACTTTGCTATCAATACTTAATGTTTAGCATTTCTCACAGGAGAGGAGCCCAACACAAGGTGGCTTTGTGACCTGAAGACAAATATCACCAGTTCATCACTGCTGACTTTTTTGAGAATTTTGAGAGGAGAATTTTGTTGGTTCACCACAAGACTGCAGCTTCTTTTACCTGCCAGATACAATCCAAGATTGTTAACCTCTGTGCTTTGGCATCTACGAGCCAAAGTAATTAAGTCAGCTAATGAGCCCTTGCTAACAGCCCATGTGCTTCACAGTCTTGCAGCACATCAAGAAAAGGCTGGATATGCTTCTAATCTTGGGGGAATGGTACCCCATTGATGTCTGAGGGCAAAGCTCAATTGTTTGTCACATTTATCCTCAACAAATAGGAGCATTATGCTTATATACCAATTACAGCCAGACATCTCATTTATATACCTACTTCAAATAGCACTTTTTGTTCACCCATACCAAGCTGAACTTTGATAAACCCATTTTAAAAAATGGACAACAAAAAAAGGCCATGATAGCAGGCAGTAGACAAAATGCTTACTCAAAGGTAATGTTTCAGAAACACCCTTTTGAGGAAAATAAAGGCTTTAAAGCAGAAAATCATGAGCGTGCACAATACTGTCCATTTAAAGCCCCTATGAGGACTAAAATGCCCCTTCTTACTCTCCTTCCCCATTTCTTAATGTCTTGGGGAAAAAAAAGTGTTAAACAGAAGCTATTACTGACTGATAGTTTCTGCCCTGACTGCCTTCTGGTTACAGCACGCTGTGGCACCAGCTTTTCATGCACACAGAGGGCAAAGCAGACAACTGGCATCCCTGACTGCAATGTGCGGTCAGGTGTGTAATTTCAACCACAGAATGACAGAGCAGCCCAGGTTGGAAGGGACCTCGAAAGATCATCTGGTCCCACCTTTCGTGGGAAAGGGAGCCTAGAGGAGATTGTCTAGCACCCTGTTCAGTTGCACCTTGAAAACCTCTAGCCATGGGGACTCTACCACATCCCTCGGGAGGTTGTTGCAGTGAGTGATCGTTCTTACTGTAAAAAATGTCTTTCTTAGGTTGAGATTTCTGACATCATCTGCATTTTCTAATAAACCCTCTTGGTGCCGCTGCAGATGCACTTATTGGACTCCTGCTGCAGGGTGGGCCTAAGCCCCAGCCCGGGGTGGGCAAGGGCAGAGGCGAGGGCAGCAGCAACAACCCACCTGGGGACGGGCACGCCGCGCTCGCAGGTCCCGCACTTCCAGGGCTGGCCTCGACCTGCTGGCTGGCGGCTGCATCTGCTTCCACTGGGGAGGCCTGCAGAGAATAACACAGTAGAAACACAGTGAGTGCAGTGGAAATGAAAGTATGTGTTAATTCCTCAAGGCAGTACTTACTGCTTCTTTGTAATGTGTTTGAACCAGACTGGTTTAGAGCTCAACAGGGAGCTGGGGAGTACGTTTCGGAGCAGTGTGTGCCACTCGAGTGTTGAATCACTGGGCTTTAATCTCCTTTTCAAACCATTCATCGGCAACCATCACGCAGTTGGTTTGGAATAGCTCCTATAAGCTTTTAAAATTGTAGGGTACCTTGGATTGTGTTAGCTGGAGATAAGCACACATTTCACCCCTAGTTTCCTCTTCCAGAATAACATAAAAACGTATGCATTAGTGAATACCTAGCACACACTAGGGTTTGAAAAGTGGCAAAGTAATTAAATACTTCCTTTATTTCACAGTTGTCTAAACAATCTGTTATCTGAAGGGAAAAGCCAGAGTCAGTATTAAAGGCAATGAAATACTTGAAACACTATTAAGAGAGGACTGAAAAAATATGGTGAGAGCATATCGAGCCAATAATCCAAATCCCTTTGAAAAAACAGCTTCCTGACCCAGAACAAGGCTGTTGCAGAGCTAAAACCACACTGTCAAAACAAGGATAGCACTTCAGCTGATCTGTTTAGCAGCTTCCACCACGCATCCGCTTTCCCGGTAGGAAAAGAAAAATCTGCAGCAAACCGATCAGCCACTGCACAGTGCTTCTAATGCATGAAAGAGCTAGAAAATGGCACATTCAAGAGAGGAAAATAAAAAAAGCAGACTACTTTTAGAAATAAAAAGTAACATATTTCAGAAATAGTCTATTGTAGACTCGCTTTCCTGTCCTCCTCTCACCCCTCCATCTTATTAACAGCTGCAAGGGAGGAAATCTGATGAAATGTCCTCTTTTCTGGGGGCAGGATTCAGACCTTCACCTTCTGCACGGATCCTGTTTCCCATCCCCACAGACCCACAGGAGCCCACGGCCCCTCATTCATCCGTGCCCCCTGAAGAGCAGACCTGGGCCCTCACAGCTCGGTCATCGGGGACTTCTGCTGGCAGTGTCAACAGGACGCCAAGCCACTTTGGCTCCAGAGAGCTTTGCTGTCAGCAGTGCTTGGGAATCCCTGCCTCTCTTCTCTCTGAAGGGAGACATGCTCCGGAGAGGGGCAGGGAATGTGTCTGGGAAGATGCCCTGTGAGGAAATGGTGGGGACTGGTGTGGGGCCATGGCCAGGAGCAGTGACCCGGGCAAGCCCAGCGGGCAGCGAGCAGTGCTGGCAACAACAGAAGGAGCCCCCAGCTGCCAAGGGCTGTGCCGCCACCTCGCAGCAGGACAGGCGCCACATCACAGCCACGAGCCTCTACAAGTGGCAACGCGTCTCCTCCGGTGCCTGCTGGGGCTGGCTGCCCGCCGTCATCCCCATCGCCCGCCGCTTTCCACTGCATCCTCACCTCTGCTCCCCCCCCTGAATCCTCCACCCCGGGCAAGGCATGGGGACACACAGAATCATAGAATCATTTAGGTTGGAAAAGACCCTTAAGAACATCCAGCCCAAATGTAAACCTAACGCTGCCAAGTCCACCACTAAACCATGTCCCTAAGCACCACGTCTACACATCTTTTAAATACTTCCAGAGATGGTGATTCAACCACTTCCCTGGGCAGCCTGTTCCAAGGCTTGACAACCCTTTTGGTGAAGAAATTTTTCCTAACATCCAATCTAAACCTCCCCTGGTGCAACTTGAGGCCATTTCCTCTCGTCCTATCACTTGCTACTTGGGAAAAGAGACCGACACCCACCTCGCTACAACCTCCTTCCCAGGTAGTTGTAGAGAGTGATAAGGTTTCTCCTGAGCCTCCTTTTCTCCAGGCTAAACAACCCCAGTTCCCTCAGCCGCTCTTCATAGGACTTGTTCTCTAGACCCTTCAGTTTCGTTGCTCTTCTTTGGACACATCCCCCTGCCGCCTAAAAGTGGTTCTCAAACTGGACGAGGCAGAGGGTGAAATACACATTCCAAAAAGGCAGCATGGAAAGTTTAAGGACCTCCTCTCTACCATGTCCACCTGTGAGCACGCCTATACCAAGAGCAAACAAGGCACGGAGCTCCCCCTCCATGTGTCACACGCTCCAAAGAGAGATGGTCACTGGAGATGAGGCACAGGCTAAAATACAGGCCCCAGAGGAATGCTCCAAAGACTGCAAGTCCTGTGCCCCAGAGATTTGCCCCTTGCCATTCCGTTGCTCTCTTCTCCCTGCCCCAGCCCATCTTGGTGCCAGCCTGTTTTTCAGTGAGAGCTTTCTCACTGAAAGCCCTAGCAGAATACTGCAACCAAAGAAAACGTCTCCTTCAGCTTCACTTCTGGCTCCTGACACAACAGCAGCCAGGGGAAAGGCTACTGGAGACTCTTCCCAACCTTGCTCAGTGCAGAAATAAGTGTTTCTTTTCTCCATGAGGACAGCGGCAGCGTAACAGGCTGCCCAGACAGGTTGTGCCATCTCCGTCCTGGGAGGTTTTCAAGACTTGGATGATCAAGCCTTAGCAACCCAGTCTGATCTCATGCCTGATCCTGCTTTGAGCAGAAGACTCAGCTAGAGACCTACAACCTGAATTATTCTGTCATTCTAGAACCTACAAACCTCCATTAAACCTAAACAAATGGCTATTATCAAGAGCTCAGGGTTTGCCCTAAACAAGGTAGATTTTAACTGGAAAAGCAAGAGGCACCTACCCGACAACTCTACCCAGTGCTCCAAAGCATAAGACCTTTCAAAGAAATTGTTGCAAATGTCAATTATTCATGTTTATATTATTATTATTTTTGGTAAAGCAATGGAACTCACAAAAAGCAATTGTCCAAACTGAAAAATTCCCCCCCCCAAAAAAGAAATTCAGCTTTAATTTCAACCTCAGAGGCTTTAAAGCTATAAACAATGATAAACTGGGCCAATACAAGAAGTGTTAAACAGCATTACATACACCCAGGGAAGTCAAGTGCCAATGGCAGCTGGAGCTGGGGAAAGAGCACAGCCACACTGCCCTCCCAGAGGGTTTAAAAAGCTCAGCGAATGCACAGACATGGTCCACTTTTATCACCTCTGGGTCTAGAGTTACCTCAGGAACCTAAACACGGTCCTCTGTCATGTAGCTATCCTGCACAAGTGCAGTAACTAAATCTACCCCTAACCTATATCCAGGAGGTTGAACCAGGTATAGACATAGATGTTATTTATAGAAATTCTTTCAAAGAGGAGTAAAAAAAAAAGGAAAGAGCTACTACTTGCTGCAGGAAAATTGAATTTTCCAACGGCATGCTGCAGAAGTTCTGTTCCTGCTCACGAGACTTGACTCTTCCTCCTCCCTCTGCTGAGCAATTAAATGCTAGTGACATACAACTAAAAATATAAAACTGATTAGTAAGTAATTTATAAAAAAATTAAGTCAACTTCACTGGGGAACTCTCTCATTCCCAGTATATCTAATTCTACTTATATCCACAGGTATATAATATATTTAAGAAAATTCTTGTACTGATACAGTTGATAAAATGCCTTTTCTACTGCAGATTATCATCATTCACATTCCGTAAATATTCTGTAATCAAATGATGATGTTATCACTGAACGTGAAAAAGCCATACAAACATTTAATTGCACCTAAAAGGATGGTATTTTGACATGGACACTGAAAAACCTAACAATTTGGCAAGTGACATTTCTGAGGTGTTTCAGAGGAGCTCTCACGCTTTGGGATGAAGGACCCATGCAGCCTCTCGGCACCACTCTGCTGCAGCCACGGGTGTTCGTGTGGGCAGAGGCGTCATTCTGCAGGACCACAGAGCCACTCCATACGCTGGCTCTGCTGCAGGTGCCTACGAGGGAAGGTCACACAACACCCGCTGGTCCACTGCCACAGGCAATGAAGACTTCAAGGGAAGTAGGAAAAACCTTGCTGCGTAGGGGCTGTGGTTATCTCTGCCCCCAGATCCAGGCTGGTGTGAAGACTCTCATTAACTCCTGAAAACTGAAGAATGCTGTCTACTTGGATTGGTGTTTTTATTACCCCATGCATCTAGCTACCCAGGAGTTAAAGTGAACCTCCTCATTTAGGATTTAGAAGCCTTAGTTCATGATGGAAAGTTAAATATTGTGATTGCAGCTACAGTTATGAGCACATCAGTAACGGAGGACAAAGCAACACCTCAGTTCTGCTAACCAAGGGTATCTATTTAACAAAGACACAAGCACAGCTGATTATATAGTGTTATCAAACACCTATTAGGCATGAAAATAAATGAGTTCAGTTTATGGCGGACAGGATTTTTATCTCATAAACTAGGATATCAGTCCAAGTATTTCTTTAATTAAGACCATACAAGCCAGAAATAGCCACATTGCCTATTGCTGTGGCAGAACCTTACATCCTTACAAAAGCCTAAAAATACAGTAACTAGGAACTCCTAAAACATGGAATATCACAATTACTACAAGAATTCAAACTCCAAAGGAAGTTACAGTAGAACTTTATTAACCCTTATTGTAAATTAAATCAAAATGTAGGTCAGTTAACACTACTTGTACACAAAATCACATGAAATATCGTTACTGTATTTTCTATAAAAACATGACAAAACATGCTGTCTGGAACCAGCAAGACTACAGAGATATCGGGAAGAATCAGGTTAGTTAAATTCTGTAAAATCACTCGGGAATGAAATTGGTAGCGGTATCAATAGCCACATGTAGAAATTGCCTGACACATCTTTCAAGCTTCTGTGATTGAAATTGTACACATATCATTGACTTTAAAATTTTCATACAGTGATTTCCTCATCAAAGCTAGTGTCTTCTGTTGTTGTGAGTGGTAATGGTGGCATGACCTTGGGCAGCCACAGCTAAGTGCCTTGCATGCTATGCCAGTATAGTACTACAGCCAGAACACTGCCCTGACACGTTAAGTCATCTGCCTCATCTGGCAGCTATATGATGCTATACTC